TTTTTAGAACAAAACTTCATTGAACTCACCAATCATATCGAATGTAAGTCGCGATCCAAATCAGGCGAACAATTATTCGGGTTTCACAGATATCGGCGGAGGAGGAGAACTGAACGCCGCACATTCACCTCAGTTGCGACTTACCCCCAGTGCTGCAACGTCAATGCTAGATGATCCCATGCAACTATCGCCCTCTCCATATGGTGTAGATGGTGGAGGTAGCAATGCAGCAACTGGTGGTAGTTGCCCGTTCTTTCTTCCAAATGACCAAAATTCAGTCAAAAGTTTTGGAACCGACAGTGCTTATAAAAACTCAGTTGGTGGCAATTCCTCAAGTTTGACGGGCGGAAAAAGTTGTCTCCAAAGTGGTCGTTCATCAGGGCCCACAAACTCACTAAGAACAGTAAATTGCTCCAACGTATCTACAGCCAGTCCGGTCCAATCAGCACCAATGTCACCGTTAAGTTCTGTGGCAACAAGTGCATCCGAAGTGAGTACCAATATTGATATGTATGTTTTTGTAATCCTGTATGTACATACACCCATATGTGACGTTCTATGTCAAACGGACCAAAGCTTTGCCCAAATTTCTATGGAATAGAAATTAACGTAAAGCATGTCAAAAGGCTCGTAAATTTATAATACATCAAATTAGACGTGGCAGAACTGAAAATTCAGTATTACGTAAATGATGTCCGTCATGCCAGTTTGTTAAAATAGTTGTCAGTTATTTGGTCAAGACGGATTCTAATGTTTTGCAGGGTCGCTGAATACGAATGTACCATCAAAGTTTCCATATTCAAAATGGCGATATTCAAAATGGTGGGGGGTATCACGGTCGCTGATTACGAATCTGAAGTCGGATTAGAAAAATTCAAAATGGCAGACCTAATTTGGGGAACAAAAAAATCCAAATCGATTGGATTCGCTTAAAAATTTATAATTGAGTTTTATTAAGGCAGCTGATTATGTAAATGAAATCAGATATTAAAAATCAAAAATGGCGGTTCCATATTCGGTCTAAAATTTTTCCCGGAAATGTTACAATCGAACGTACGTACATGGCGTATGAGCAACATTCTCATCTCGTCTGGGTAACTCATACGCCATGT